GGGGGGGGGGAGGAGGCAAAACTTTTTTCAGTGCTTGTCATTCTTTCTTCTTTTTCATTTCGCAGTCGTGTCTCTCCCTGCGAATCATGTCAAATTCTGACAACTGCCCAACAAACTCATGTCAAGCTTGGCGAATGATACTAGCGTCATAGAAACCCCACGCCAATTTTTGCCCTTCTCCAGATTTCCATTCGACCCACCATCCTAACAAGTTTAACAGGAGTGTACAGGACGCTTGACAGGTAATAACAAGGACCGAAGAGTGGAAGCTTGGGGTATATTGCAAGAGAACCGTAATCGGCAGCGCCAGTGGGCGTTGCGTGCGACGTCGCGCCCGACGATGACGACGATTTTATGTGGTATTGGTCGAGAATAGACAATGTATGACCAAAAATAGACATAACTCGCCTATCCTTTCGCTACCTTTTCGATTGGAGCATCGGATTTTATGTCGAAAATCGAAAAGGTAGCGCTAGTAAAGGAAACGTCGCGCCCATCGCCGCGTGCGACGAAGCGGCAATTTACGATTCTCTTGCCCGTCTCCCGGAAGCTTACTCGCTATTTATGCGCATACATTCGCAGGAATCAATATGCTGACAAGCGGTTATAAGTGTGCTTCCCACAAGGTTCACCTGTATCACCTGTGCTCCGTTGATCATCGAGTTACTCAAGGGGGCGCTAGTAACGACTCCATTCGTCCCTGCGATGAGCTTCATACCATTCGTTTAGAGCTTTCACGAAGAAGTCTGACCATCGCGTAGGCGGTCGTCCAGGCGTTCGCTTGACATCCCGTGGAATCCAGTCGGTGATCGCTCTGGTCCAGCGGTCGTCCTCGAAACGCATGACGCCCACCTGATCTTCGAAACCTTGGCAAATGCGGCGGCGTCTCTGATCTTCGATCGTCGGCGGAGTGCGGAGCTCCGGATTCCCTCTCTCACTTGCGTGTAGCGGGAAACTCCGAGCATCGCCCTTTCGATGGCGCGTTGAATAACGCCAACCGCATGCTCATCCTGCTTTCGTAGAGTCCAAGTCTCTGAGGCATAAGTCAAGGCAGGAAGGACCGCGGAATCGAAGAGGTGGGCACGGAGCTCCCTCGGTGTTACTCCCTCGGTGTTCTTGAAGGCTCCCTAAGCCGCTCGCCTCCTCATGCTCAGCCCTGGTGCTGAGTCGAGTCATTCATTCATTTTCATTTTGCCCATAAAGTTATTAGCCTTAAAACTGCAAACACAAATCTATTCTGCTTTGTGCAATACTATCTGCATGCCACGCTGCGACAGTGACAGTTTTCCTCCGCTATCAAATAAACTACTGCTTCATGCGCCTTGGCCAAGAGGGGCAACTATGCAGGAGTACAAGTTTGTGCAGCGCGCTCTATCACATGAATTTCGGTTATGTTCTCAAATAATGGTGTTTCGTTTTCTCACCCCAGGTGGGCAGCACTTCTCATTGTTTTAAAATTTGCGGGGCCTAGAAAGAAGAAGCGGGTAAAGACAATTCCCGCGATAGCCTTACGGGTAAGATATTGGCTCAGTCACGAACCAATATCTCATAAATAATCCCCGGTAGAGAAAGAAGGAGGAAAAAACCTTGGATACACCCCCCCCCCCATCAGCGGTAGAGCCGGCGCCTTGTACGAGTTCATCATGAGGACGAGCACAATCAACAGAATTCTACGTGCAATCAATTCCCGCAACGAGCATAAGAAATCGCTCGACGACGCTCCGAGCAACGCTATGTACACACGCATTTCGGCTTGTGAGCCGTTGTTTTGTAGAGTGAATGTAATCGTAGTTGCAATGGTTGCAATAGTCACTGGTGTTTGGTCTCCTTATCTCGCTGCTTCGTGTAACGAAAGGGGTACATCCGTTGCGAATGCAGACTACGATGCCAAATGCATGGAGACATTTCGCGGACCACTTGATCGCGGGGACTGTCTTTAAAGTTTCGCTGATTTCAATTGCTTCGAGGCATGGACTACGAAATGTTTTACCGATTCGTTGCCCCTTTCTTGGTGTGCTGTCACCCGGAGCGAGCCGTTTATATACAAATGTCTATTGTGACATATCCCTCTTGTCGCGGATGCGACGGTCGCCGTTGGGCGCACCTCGCGCCCCGGCCCATCTGTGCCCGGTTCCCACGGCGTGCGATTCACGTGCGCCGTGGCTCCGCCCCCTGCGGTCGTGGCCAGTATAGTACGTTCGACGGCTGGCAGCCGGTGCGGTCGTTTTCCACGCCGGGTAACGCGTGCCAGCGCGCCGATAGGTTGGAGGGGTGAATCGCACCTCCGAAGGCTGGAGCGCTCCGCGGCGCCGGCCAAGAGCGGCCGATGTCCATCCCCTGCTCCCCGACTGGGAGCAGCCTCCACTCCAGCCCCGACGAGGACATCGACGATCGCATGGAGCAACGAGGAGTGTCGTCGGCAAGATGGGGGCATATTACGTTATTGCGTCCAAGGGGATGAAGCCTTAGCAGGCCTATTGCGTACTCGGAGGGGCAGAGCCCAGGGGGCCTATTGCGCAGTCAGCTATGGAACGAAACCCGTGAGACGGCGACCAGGGAGAGAATATCTGACCAGGGAGAGAATATCTATTTCATTGTGGTGAGTATTTCGCGTAGTAAATATGTTTATTCGCAATGTGTAGTTGTGTTCAATATGTTGGTATTGCCATCGTTTTGTACATGTACGTGTTGTGTATTGCGTGGGTAATGCGTGTGTATTAGACCATGTGTAGGTAGGGTTGGGTACCCTGGTCCTTGTCGTCTAGCTGTTGGGGCGGTTGAATAGGCGGTAAGACCCCATGGTCCCCGAGGGGTGGTCCGCTCCTCCTGTTAGGGGGCGCAGGAGGAGTGTAGTGGGCCCGATGGGGCGACCGATTGGTTAGTCGGCGCACCGGGAGTTTGAGTGCGTTGACCGCCGATGTCGATCGCACATACGGGAGTGGTGCACCCGTCCGCGACACCTCTAGTGCTACAAGAACAAAAAAAAATTAGTTGCATCCTTTCAAAAGGAGTAGGGAGTCGGCTGAAAATTTGGTGAAAGGGAAGTTGGGCGCTGTTGGCCGTTTGGGAAGGTTTTTGCAAGGCACGACCACCTCCCTCCATCCACCCCCCCCCCAAGCAAGTCTTCTTCTGCTGACACCGTACTTCATCTTACCCATCATCTGACTGTATCCCCACACTCCCTGATTCCCTCACTTTTCTCTGAAAAACCGATGGCTGTACGCCAGTCGTGGCACAGGTCGAAATAGAAGGATTTTTTTAGTGTGCTACATATAACTGGAGTTTGATATAACACATCTCTACTCACTTGTGAGTACATTGCGAACTCAATAAAAAATTTATCAATAAAAATGACCAGAACAAATGTGCAATAAATTATACCCGTTAATATCGCATTATACGTGAAATGAGATCACATGCAAGTTTACAATGACGCACGAACCGTTGCCGTAGCCGGCGGATAAAGTAGCGAATATTCAGAGAAAATACAAATCCGCCTGTGTACTTGAAAATTAGAAAAGTGAAAAATGGAGTTGTACGTTTTCGAAAATGAAATGCACTTTGAAATCGCAGAAGAATTTTCCGGAAATTCACTAACTCCCGGTAGTCAGAATGAGTAACAAATCAAGGCCTATACAGACTTGAGTAGGAAGAGCTAACAAATACTAAACAACAACGATTTTTGCCTAAAAAGTGCTGATGTTTCTGCAAATACCACAACCCAGAGCGAACTCTTCGCCAGCCGGCGGATGTGGTCGCCGCAGGGGACAAGGTCCCTTCACCCGGAGTCGCTTCTGGACCGGTGGGACATGGAGGGAATTGATTCCGAGGTAGACAGACGAGACGCTGGAAATCGTCATGACAGGCCGCGCAGAAGTGCGTTGTACCGAAGCTGAAAGAGTAAGGATTAAACAGTTCACGTTGAGCAGATCCTAGAGGGGAAGAGCGACACGACAGTACCAAAAATAGACGGCAATCGAACAGCAGTACCGGCACTTGTATTCGAGATATTCGGCACCGTGACGACCACAAACCTCCGTACCTGCTGGTGCTGAGCAGCCACCACAAACCAGCTCAGCGGCGTTGTACTGGAACGACTGCAGGGCCTAAAAAAGATTAGCATACAAGAGAGAAATGGTGCATATTTCACATTTAATATTTTTCGCTTTCGTTGAGAACTTAATTATGGTGAACGGATAATAGGACCTGGTCCCAGTTGAATCTTATCGATGGGTGCAACTACAGTGCTCCTGGTGGTTTTGATAGTACTGAGCCTATAGATCGTGTTTAGCGTCCAGAAAGAGTCTTGCGAGCCGACATTAGACGGTCCATTGCTGAGCGACACCCCTTCTGCGCTCGACGCCCAGCTTAGCTTTTAATCCCCTTAGCATGGACGCCCTAGCATTTAACCCCTCAGTGAATGGCGTGCAAGCCAGGTGGTTCAACTTACAGCAACACTCAAGAATCATGTCAGAGTGCCACCCATGATCTTCGCCGGGGATCGAGTTTCGCACACTGGTTATA